AGCGCTCGCCTTGAGCTGAAGAGCTGAGGGACAGCGCTCAGGCCCAGAGTTCAAGCCCCACGACCAACAAAAAAAAAAAAAAAAGAAGCCACAATCCTCTCAGAGGGTCCCCACAAGACCCACCAGGGCCACCAGCTGTGCTCAACAAGCAAGAAGCCTTGGGCACCAGTGTGGCTCATGCCTTTCATCCTAGCTACTCAGGAGGCTGAGATCTGAGGATCATAGTTCAAAGCCAGCCTAGCCAGGAAAGTCCATGAGACTCTTATCTCCAGTTAACTACCAGAAAACCAGAAGTGGCACTGTAGCTCAAGTGGTAGAGTGCTAGCCTTGAGCACAGAGAGGCTCAGGGACAGACCCCAGGCCCTGAGTTCAAGCCCCAGGACTAACAACAATAACAAAAAAGAAGCAGCAGGAAGTTCCTTTTGCAGCCAGATGTTTGGGAGTGCTTCACCCCTGAGGCTGTATGTACCCAGACTCCCCAGAGTGTCATTTGGCCAGGGCATGGATTAGAGGCTTTGGGGACCTGGAGAAGCATGGTTTCTGTGGTCTTTGCAGTTCTTCTCAGTTTTGTGTATTTCTGCTGATCCCAAGCACTCTTGACTATGTGGATTGTTTCTAGGTCCCATCTGACTCTGTCTAGGTTCGATCTGAGCTGTCTGAAGTCTGTCTAGCCTAGTAGAGTGTACTTTGAGCCTGTCTGATTTCTGCGCAGGCCTGTCAGGCTCGTCTGCAATCTCCTTAGGCCGGGTTGGGGCTTCGATGTAAATCTCCATTGGTGGAGCCTCAGACAGAGGCCATTTGACATCCTGAGTTGATTTTATTCATTTAGGCTCTTGTAGCTAGATTCTGTCTGAGCCTGGCCAGATTCTTTCTGGAACCTGGGATTCATTCTTGTTTAAATTTCCACTGGGGGCCATTAGAGTTCCAAATGTAATTAAGGTTGATGGGGTCCAACTTTGCCTTCACACCTCTGTCCCAAGCAGAAAAAGAGCGTGGGGTTAGGATAGGAAAAGCTCTGTCCCTCGCATCTTCCAATCAGCGGAGTGAACCTGCACACCCAGCCCCTCCGAGTCCCTGCTCTGTCCCTCTGAGTGCGTTACACATCTGTGTGTCCACGTGTCGGCGTGCAGCTCTGCTGTGGGCCTGTGTGCAGCAAACGTCAGCGTGGCAGTGTGTCTCCGTGTGGGTGTCGAGGACTATTTCTGTGCGCCTGTATGTCAGTGCTTCTGTCTGTGGCCCCGGTCTGTCTGTTGGTGGCGGTGGCGGTGCGGGTGGGTAACTCCCTTTGTGTCTGTGAGCCCCGGGGGTGGAGGGCTGAGCAGCTGCCGGCTGCAACTGGAAAACCCAAGCAAGCAGGAGTGGGTGGGTGTGCTGTTGGAAGGCGCTGGGTGAAAGCGATTGAATCCACGACTGAATACATGAGACAAGTTGGCCGAGAAAGAGGAGTGAGGGTGGGTGGCAGGAGGAAGGCGCAGGAAGAGGGATCGGGTGCTGTCTGCTTCACTCACCCACCTTCCCTGTGCCCTGCCACTGGCTGTGACGTGATCTTGTATAGGAGATGTAGCTGGTCAGGTGCACAAGGCGGCGGGGAGGGAAGGTGGAAGGGAAAAGAAGGGAGTCCATTGAGGCCTGAGCAGGTATTGTGGAAGAATATCAGGAAGGTTCAGGATCCAGAGACACCAATGGATTCCAGAATCCTTCTTGGAGCTCAGAGCCAATTATTGCAAGACTGACATTTAGCTGATGGTTAAAATATTGAAATACATCCATCCTGATTGGTCAATAGCAGCTGCCCTGAATACTATCCCCTTCCAGTGAGAAGCTGTACCCATAAGGCTACACACACACACACACACACACACACACACACACGGACAGACCCCAGGCCCTGAGTTCAAGTTCCATAGAATACTATGGTACCTAATGTTCATTCAGAATTTTGGTGCCTTCATAGCACCCCCTTCCTTTTTTTGGGGGGGTGGTTGGTTGTGGGGCTTGAACTCTGGGACTGGGCACTGTCCACGAGCTCTTTTGCTCAAGGCTAGCACTCTACTTTGAGCTACAGTGCCACTTCTGGTTTTTGAGTGGTTAATTGGAGGGACTTTTCTGCCTGGCTGGCTTTGAACTGTGCTTCTGAGATTTCAGCCTCTTGAGGAGCTAGGATTACCGGCATGAGCCACCAATGCCCAGCATTTGGGTCTTGTCTTTTCTTTTCTTCTCTTGCCTGCCTGCCTGCCTGCTTTCCTCCTTCCTTCCTTCCTTCCTTCCTCCCTTCCTTCCTTCTTTCCTTCCTTCCTTTGTTTGCCAGTCCTGGGCCTTGTCCCTGAGCTTCTTTTGCTCAAGGCTAAGCACCCTACCACTGGAGCCACAGCACCACATCTGGCTTTTCCTGTTTATGCAGTACTGAGGAATTGAACCCAGAGCTTCATGCATGCTAGGCAAGCACTCTACCACCAAGCCACATTCCCAGCCTGTTTAGGTCTTGAAGCCTCCTTTCTGAGCCTAAGCTGGAGCAGCACCTGTGGTTGCATGGTAGGGAAAAGGGGAGAGACCCAGCCTCAGGGACCAGGGTGAAGATTGCTCATGGACGGATCTATCTTCCTTTATCTTCCAGGCAAAAGACAGTGATGATGAAGAGGAGGTGGTCCACGTGGACCGAGACCACTTTATGGATGAGTTCTTCGAACAGGTAATGAATCCTCAGTGCCCCAGACCCGGAACCTGGCCCCTTCTCAACAGCTTCCCTTTCGCTGTGCCCCGATTTCCCCCCATGCCTTTGACCTTTTTCCCTGAGCCCTGGAAACTCTCTGGATCTCCCCAGCACTTGTCTGGGTGTCATGGGTGGTTCCCCCCCCAGGTGGAGGAGATTCGAGGCTGCATTGAGAAGCTGTCGGAAGACGTGGAGCAGGTGAAAAAACAGCATAGCGCCATCCTGGCCGCCCCCAACCCAGATGAGAGTGAGTGTTGCTTTCAGGTGTTTGGGGTGGGGTGTGGGGGGGAGGTTACTGGGGTCCCACACAGACTTCTCACTCAGCCTCCTTGGCTTCCCCTTAGAGACCAAACAGGAGCTGGAGGATCTTACTGCAGACATCAAGAAGACGGCCAACAAGGTCCGGTCCAAGTTGAAAGGTGAGGAGTGCAATTCTGAGCTAAGGAGGAAAAAAACAACCTTCTGGGCGCCAGATTCCTAAACAGTGAGAAAGCACAAAATCCAGACTTGCTGCTGCTGCTGCTGCTGCTGTGTGTGTGTGTGTGTGTGTGTGTGTGTGTGTATGTGTGTGTGTGTTTGCATGCCATTCCTGGGGCTGGAACTCAAGGCCTTAGAGGCTTCTTTTTCTTTTGCCAGTCTTGGAGTGTGAACTCAGGGCCTGGGCACTGTCCCTGAGCTCTTCAGCTCAAGGCAAGTGCTCTACCACTTGAGCCACAGCACCACTTCCAGTTTTCTGGTGGTTCATTGGAGATAAGAGTCTCATGGACTTTCCCGCCCAGGCTGGCTTTGAACTGTGATCCTCAGAGCCTCCAGAGTAGCTAAGATTACAGGCATAAGCCACGGGCACCTGGCTTCCCTGAGCTTCTTTTGCTCAAGGCTAGTACTCTACCACTTGAGCCAAAGCACCACTTCTGGCTTTTTCTATTTATGTGGTACTGTGGAATGGAACCCAGGGCTTCATGCATGCTAGGCAAGCACTCTACCACTACTAAGCCACATTCCCAGCCAAGACCTTACCCTGTTGCTTGGCTTTTTCATTCACAGCTAGTACTCCATCACTTGAGCCAAGCCTCCAGTTTTGGCTTTTTGCTGGTTAATTAGAAATAAGAGTCTTGAGAATTTCTCTACCCAGGCTTGCAAATCTCACTCCTTAAATCTCAGCCTTGAGTAGCTAGGATTATAAGCTGTGAGCCGGTGGTGCCTGGCTGCTTCTTTTTCTCCCCCAGAGCTGGGGAGGGAACTCAGGGCCTTGTACGTGCTAGACAAGCTCTCTTTTTCTTTCTTTTTTTTGGGGTCCAGTCGTGGGGCCTGAACTCTGGGCCTGAGCGCTGTCCCTCAGCTCTTCAGCTCAAGACCAGTGCTTTACCACTTGAGCCACAGCGCCACCTCCGTTTTTCTGGTGGTTAATTGGAGATAAGTCTGACAGACTTTCCTGTCCAGGCTGGCTTTGAACCACGATCCTCAGATCTCAGCCTCCTGAGAAGTTAGGATTACAGGCGTGAGCCACTGGTGCCCGGCTATCCAGATCTTTTGTTGTTGTTGTTGTTGTTGTTTTTATCGTTGATATTCCAGTCCTGGGTCTTGAACTCAGGGCTTGAGTTGAGCTTTTTCCACTCAAGGCTGGCACTCTATCACTTGAGCCATAGCTCTACTTCTGGCTTTTTTTTTTTCTTTCCTTTTGCTTGTTAATTAGAGAGGAGAGTGTCACAGACCTTCCTGCCTGGGCTGGCCTGAGTAGCTAGGATCACAGGCAGGCATGAGCTACTGGCACCCCTGCTTAGTCCCAGTTGACAGAGACATGAGCGAAGGAAGGTTTGCATCTGAGTGCTGTGGGCTCCATCAGGGCGAAGATCCCTCGGGAAAAGGAAGTCTTTGCTTTTGAAAAACAAGACGTCGCTTTTGTGAAGTCCTTATTTGTCCTGGCCCCCCTCCCTCCCCGCCCCAGCATGGATGGGTTCAGAAATGCTCGCTCCTGTATCAGTACTGTCAGCTCAGGCCAGATTGGACTGTGTGGCTGACATCAGGGGCTGGCACGTTTTCAGGAGGGCCCTGCCAAGTGCTCATGTATTCACTCTAATTTAAGGACTTGGGCGCTGGTAATAACCACCTTCCCCCAAAGCATTGTGGGCCGGGAACCTCCTCATGTGCTGGTACCCCTGGAATAGCAATGCTACCGGGAGGCTAATTTGTGCACCGATCGTAATTCAGCATCTGGAGCCTTTGCCAAGGACCTACGGTGTGTGAAGCCCATCACCGCTAAGCTTTAGGGACAGGAGCTTGACATGGTGCTTGGCCCAGTGACCTTGGGCTAGGGAGACAAGGACAAAAGCCGGATGTCCTCTCAGATTCACAGAGAGGCCATAGGTACCCTGCGGAGGCTGACGGGTAACAGCAAGCTCCTTGCACTCAAGGTGAGTGTGGGAGATGGAAATGCTCTGTTCTGGGATTGGTGCAAATCCCAGCAGAGCAAACTCAGCCTCTACGAGCAGTCTACCCCCAGCCTGCTCATCTGTACAGTAGGGGAAATTGAAACAATTTCAAAACTTGTTTTTTTTTTCTTTTTTCTTTCTTTCTTTTTGTTAAGTTGGTTGTGGGGCTTGAACTGGGGGCCTTTGCACTGTCCCTGAGCTCTTTTTGCTCAAGGCTAGCACTCTAGCACTTTGAGCCACAGTTCCACTTTTAGTTTTCTAGTGGTTCATTGGAGGTAAGAGATTTAGAGACTTTCCCGCCTGGGCTGGCTTTGAACTGTGATCCTCAGATCTCAGTCTCCTGAGTCGCTAGGATTACAGGCATCAGCTGCCAGCGCTCAGCAGCCCTTTCCTTCTTCCTGTCTCTTTCTCTTTCCCTTTCTGAGGCTGGATCTCACTATATAGCCCAAGCTGGCCTAGAACTCTCAACTCTCCAGTCCTTTTTTTTTTTTTCCAGTCCTGAGGCTTAAACTCAGGGCCTGAGCGCTGTCCCTGAGCCTCTCTGTGCTCAAGGCTAGCACTCTACCACTTGAGCCACAGTGCCACTTCTGGCTTTTTCTGTGTATGTGGTGCTGAGGAATTGAACCCAGGGCTTCATGCATGCTAGGCAAGCACTCCACCACTAAGCCACATTCCCAGTCCTCCAGTCTCAGCCTTCTGAATGCTGGGATTACAATTACAGGCTTGTACCACCAAGCCCAGAAATACTGTTTTTGTTTTTGGGTTTTTTTTTTTGTTAACTCTTTTGTTGTTGTTGTTGCTGGTGGTCATGGGGCTTGAATTCAGGGCTTGGATGCTGTCCCTGAACTTTCTTGCTCAAGGCCAAAAATGCTGTACCACTTAGAGCTACAGCGCTACTTCCAGCTTTCTGTGGTTAATTGTAGATAAGTCTCATGGGCTTTCCTGCCCAGGCTGGCTTTGAACTCAACCTCCTGAGTAGCTAGGATGATAGATGTGAGCCATCAGTGCCCTGATTGTTCTGTGTGTGTGTGTGTGTGTGTGTGTGTGTGTGTGTGTGTGTGCGTGTGTGTGCGTGTGCGCATGCGCCTGTACTACATTTTGAACTCGGGATTTGGACACTTGCTTCTAACTTTTTCACACAAGGCTGGCACTTTACCAAATGAACTACAGCACCACTTTCAGCTTTTTCTTTTTCTTCCAATCCTGGGGCTTGAACTTGGGGCCTGGGCACTGTCCCTGAGCTTCTTTTGCTCAAGGCTAGCACTCTACCACTTGAGCCACAGTGCCACTTCTGGCTTTTTCTGTGTA